GTGATGAATGGACACAGGTGGGAATCAGTGATGAATGGACACAGGGGGGGAATCAGTGATGAATGGACACAGGGGGGAATCAGTGATGAATGGAAAACGGATTGCTCTGGATAAACTGTGGGTATAGGATTATAACTTTTTTTTTATGGTAATAAATGGACACAGGGGGATCAATGATGAATGGACACGGAGGGGATCAATGATGAATGGACACGGAGGGGATCAGTGATGAATGGACACGGAGGGGATCAGTGATGAATGGACACGGGGGGATCAGTGATGAATGGACACGGAGGGGATCAGTGATCAATGGACATCAGGGATCAGTGATGAATGGACAGGTGGGGGGATCAGTGATGAATGGATACAGAGGAGTCAGTGATGAGTGGAAACAAGGGGGAATCAGTGATGAATGGACAGGGAGGAATCAGTGATGAATGGACACGGAGGAGATCAGTGATGAATGGACATGGGGGGATCAGTGATGAATGGACAAATGGAGGGGGGGGATCAGTGATGAATGGACACGGAGGGGATCAGTGAAATGACACTGGGGTGATGAAATGGACACAGGGGTGGAGTGATGAATGGACACAGGGGAAATCAGTGATGAATGGGACACGGGGGGATCAGTGATGAATGGACACGGGGGGATCAGTGATGAATGGACACGGGTGGATCAGTGATGAATGAACACAGGGGGGATCAGTGATGAATAGACACAGGGGGGATCAGTGTTGAATGGACACAGGGGGGATCAGTGATGAATGGACACGGGGGGATCAGTGATGAATAGACACAGGGGGGATCAGTGATGAATGGACATGGGGGGGGGATCAGTGATGAATGGACACAGGGGTGGATCATTGATGAATGGACACAGGGGGAATCAGTGATAAATGGACACAGTGGGGGGAATTATTGATGAATGGACACGGGGTGGATCAGTGTTGAATGGACACGGGGGGGATCAGTGATGAATGGACACAGGGGGGATCAGTGATGAATGGACAAGGGGGGATCAGTAATGAATGGACATGGGGAGATCAGTGATGAATGGACACAGGGGTGGATCAGTGATGAATGGACACAGGGGAATCAGTGATGAATGGACACAGAGGGAATTATTGATGAATGGACGCGGGGATGGGGATCAGTGTTGAATGGACACGGGGGTAGCAATCAGTGATGAATGGACACAGGGGGGATCAGTGATGAATGGACACACAGGGGGAATTATTGATGAATGGACACGGGGATCAGGGAATTATTGATGAATGGACACGGGGGGGATCAGTGATGAATGGACACGGGGGGGATCAGTGATGAATGGACACAGGGGGATCAGTGATGAATGGACACAGGGGGATCAGTGATGAATGGACACAGGGGGGAATTATTGATGAATGGACACAGGGTGGGGGGGGATCAGTGATGAATGGACACAGGGGGAATTATTGATGAATGGACACAGGGGGGATCAGTGATGAATGGACACAGGGGGAATTATTGATGAATGGACACGGGGTGGATCAGTGTGAATGGACACGGGGGGGATCAGTGATGAATGGACACAGGGGGATCAGTGATGAATGGACACAGGGGGGATCAGTAATGAATGGACATGGGAAGATCAGTGATGAATGGACACAGGGGTGGATCAGTGATGAATGGACACAGGGGGAATCAGTGATGAATGGACACAGAGGGAATTATTGATGAATGGACGCGGGGATGGGGATCAGTGTTGAATGGACACGGGGGTAGCAATTATTGATGAATGGACACAGGGGGGATCAGTGATGAATGGACACAGGGGGAATTATTGATGAATGGACACGGGGGGGGGGGGGGGAATTATTGATGAATGGACACGGGGGGATCAGTGATGAATGGACACGGGGGGGGGGGGATCATTGATGAATGGACACAGGGGGGGATCAGTGATGAATGGACACAGGGGGGAATCAGTGATGAATGGACACAGGGGGAATTATTGATGAATGGACACAGGGGGGATCAGTGATGAATGGACACAGGGGGATCAGTGATGAATGGACACGGGGGGGATCAGTGATGAATGGACACAGGGGGATCAGTGATGAATGGACACAGGGGGAATTATTGATGAATGGACACAGGGGGGATCAGTGATGAATGGACACAGGGGGAATTATTGATGAATGGACACGGGGGGGATCAGTGATGAATGGACACGGGGGGGATCAGTGATGAATGGACACAGGGGGGATCAGTGATGAATGGACACGGGGTGGATCAGTGTTGGACACGGGGGGGATCAGTGATGAATGGACACGGGGGGGATCAGTGATGAATGGACACAGGGGGAATCAGTGATGAATGGACACAGGGGGTGGAGTGATGAAGACAGACACAGGAGGGGGGTGGAATGGACACAGGGGGGAATTATTGAATGAATGGACACAGGGGGGATCAGTGATGAATGGACACAGGGGGAATTATTGATGAATGGACACGGGGGGGATCAGTGATGAATGGACACAGGGGGGATCAGTGATGAATGGACACGGGGTGGATCAGTGTTGAATAGACACGGGGGGGATCAGTGATGAATGGACACAGGGGGGATCAGTTGATGAATGGACATGGACACAGGGGGGATCAGTGATGAATGGACACAGGGGGAATTATTGATGAATGGACACAGGGGGGATCAGTGATGAATGGACACAGGGGGAATTATTGATGAATGGACACAGGGGGAATTATTGATGAATGGACACAGGGGGAAAATTATTGATGAATGGACACGGGGTGGATCAGTGTTGAATAGACACACGGGGGGGGATCAGTGATGAATGGACACAGGGGGATCAGTGATGAATGGACACAGGGGGAATTATTGATGAATGGACACAGGGGGGATCAGTGATGAATGGACACAGGGGGAATTATTGATGAATGGACACAGGGGGAATTATTGATGAATGGACACAGGGGGAATTATTGATGAATGGACACGGGGTGGATCAGTGTTGAATAGACACGGGGGGGATCAGTGATGAATGGACACAGGGGGGATCAGTAATGAATGGACATGGGGAGATGTAGGGGGGTGGAGGATGTATAGGGGGATGTATGGGGGGAGGGGCTGTGTGGGGGGGTCAGATGTGGGGGGGGTGGAGGATGTACAGGGGGGATGTATGGGGGAGGGGCTGTGTGTGGGGGGGGTGGAGGATGTACAGGGGGGGATGTATGGGGGGAGGGGCTTGTGTGGGGGGGTCAGATGTGGGGAGTGGAGGATGTATGGGGGGAGGGGCTTGTGTGGGGGGGTCAGATGTGGGGGGTGGAGGATGTACAGGGGGGATGTATGGGGGGGAGGGGGCTGTGTGGGGGGGTCAGATGTGGGGGGTGGAGGATGTACAGGGGGGATGTATGGGGGGAGGGGCTGTGTGTGTGGGGGGAGGGGCTTTATAGAACTCCTGACTTCTCACATCAGCTCTCCACACACAGGAAGTAGGAGGAGCTCCGCCCTTCTCTTCTAGCTCCGGCTCCGCCCTTCTCTTCTAGTTCAGGCTCCGCCCTTCTCTCGCGCATTAAGCCCCGTTGCCGGGATATGAGGTTGAAGTTCCGCCTCCTGCAGTCACCACATTCGCACATGCGCATTGCGGTTTTTGCGGTCTGTGTTCGCGCTGCATGCCGGGAGATGTGGTGCCGAGTGCCGTCCATCTTGTTGGAGGAAGGGGGCGGGGAACTACATCTCCCAGAGTGCTCCGCGCTCCCCACCGGCATCTGAGTAAGGAGATCTGGGATTGGTCAGTGAGCCGGCGGCACGTGGAGGAGAGTGTGAGACCTGGAGAGGTGAGGACAGCTGGAGAGAGAGGAGAGGGGAGGCCGGGGACCGGGAGAGGGGAGATCCGGGGGGGAGGAGGAGGAGGTCGGGGAGATGAAGGGGGACCCAGCCTGGGGGATCACATCCGGGATTGGGATCCGTGAACCGAGGATGAGGGGGGCACACCGGATGTGGGGGAGGGGATATTCGGGGTACACAGACGGTGAGAAGTCAGATCTGTATAAAGTGACCAGAAGATAACTAATCAGATGGGGGGAGGGGAACACAGGGAGTTTGTGGGAGGGGTTAGGTAAGGGGTGTGTCTAAAGTCTAAGTGGGAGGGATTTTGGCAAGAGGTGTGGTGGGAGGAGATTAGGTGGGGGGTGTGGTTATAGGTGTGGTGGGGAGCAGGGGCGGACTGACAACTCTTGGGGCCCCCGGGCAATAGGGGATCATGGGGCCCCTGTGTCCTTGACCAAACTCAAAAAAACCTATGAAAAAAGGTACCAGGGGCATCTCATGGGGCCCCCTACTGACCCCGGGCCCTCAGGCAGTGCCCAAGTTTCCAAATGGTCCGCCCCTGGGTGGGAGATTAGGTGGTGGTGGGAGGAGATTAGGTGGGGGTGTGGTTATAGCTGTGGTGGGTGGGGGTGTGGTTATAGCTGTGGTGGGAGGAGATTAGGTGGGGGTGTGGTTATAGCTGTGGTGGGAGGAGATTAGGTGGGGGGGGGTGTGGTTATAGCTGTGGTGAGAGGAGATTAGGTGGGGGTGTGGTTATAGCTGTGGTGGGAGGAGATTAGGTAGGGGGTGTGGCTATAGCTGTGGTGGGAGGAGATTAGGTAGGGGGTGTGGCTATAGCTGTGGTGGGAGGAGATTAGGTGGGGGTGTGGTTATAGCTGTGGTGGAGGAGATTAGGGTGGGGGTGTGGTTTATAGCTGTGGTGGGAGGAGATTAGGTGGGGGATTGTGGTTATAGCTGTGGTGGAGGAGATTAGGTGGGGGTGTGGTTATAGCTGTGGTGGAGGAGATTAGGTGGGGGGTGTGGTTTTAGTTGTGATGGGAGGAGATCAGATAGGGGGAGTGGTTATTGGTGTGGTGGGAGGGGCAAATTAGTGACCACCCATTGGACCATGACCCTCTGTGCTCTCCTCAGGCTGTCTGGATCCTGTGACCTTTGACCTGCAGACATGCCCTCTGACCTGGCCAAGAAGAAAGCCGCCAAGAAGAAGGAGGCAGCCAAGGCTCGCCAGAGGCCGAAGAAAGACAATGGAGAGCCCACCTCTGAGGAGCTGGAGCCACAACCAGCCAATGGCACAGCAGCTGCAGGTGAGTCACCCAGAGATCATCTGACCATCCCCCAACTGACCGTACAGCAGAGTCCTCATTGTCCACCCAGGGATCACCAATCACCTGACCATCCCCCAACTGACCGTACAGCAGAGTCCTCATTGTCCACCCAGGGATCACCAATCACCTGACCATCCCCCAACTGACCGTACAGCAGAGACCTCATTGTCCACCCAGAGATCATCTGACCATCCCCCAACTGACTGTACACCAGAGACCTCATTGTCCACCCAGGGATCACCATCACCTGACCATCCCCCAACTGACTGTACACCAGAGACCTCATTGTCCACCCAGGGATCACCAATCACCTGACCATCCCCCAACTGACCGTACAGCAGAGTCCTCATTGTCCCACCAGGGATCACCAATCACCTGACCATCCCCCAACTGACTGTACACCAGAGACCTCATTGTCCACCCAGGGATCACCAATCACCTGACCATCCCCCAACTGACCATACAGCAGAGACCTCATTGTCCACCCAGAGATCACCTGACCATCCCCCAACTGACTGTACACCAGAGACCTCATTGTCCACCCAGGGATCACCAATCACCTGACCATCCCCCAACTGACCTTACAGCAGAGTCTTCATTGTCCACCCAGAGATCACCTGACCATCCCCCAACTGACCGTACAGCAGAGTCCTCATTGTCCACCCAGGGATCACCAATCACCTGACCGTCCCCCAACTGACCTTACAGCAGAGTCCTCATTGTCCACCCAGAGATCACCAATCACCTGACCATCCCCCAACTGACCGTACAGCAGAGTCCTCATTGTCCACCCAGAGATCACCAATTACCTGACCATCCCCCAACTGACCGTACAGCAGAGTCCTCATTGTCCACCCAGAGATCACCTGACCATCCCCCAACTGACCATACAGCAGAGACCTCATTGTCCACCCAGAGATCACCAATCACCTGACCGTCTCCTACCCAGTGCATTGATCTGGGATTTGTCTTCTGGCTCCACTCTCTGCCCCGTATCGAGGTGATTGGTTCTTTCTGGGTCCTCTTGGTGTTCCTTCTCTAGTGGTTCATCCACTATGAATCCTTCCAGACATGGAGGGAGGTGATGTACTAACCCTGGAGGGCTCAGAATCTGGTGCACTTCTATAAAGAAACCAATCAGCTTCCAGGTTCTATTGCCAAATCCTAACTGAACAAGCTGAAGGTAGAAGCTGATTGGCTCCCATGCTCAGCTGCAGCAGATTCTGAGTAAATCTCCCCCGAAATGTGTCGTGTCCTATAAGAAGGACGTGTTTGTGGTGCGAGCCGTGTTCGGCTCACCGCCTCCTCGGCATGATAGTGAGATGCATCTCCAGGAGTCCAAGAAACCCGCCTGTCCTGTATGTCCGGGGAGGTGTACTTCAGTAAGTTTCCTTTCACAAGACGCAGCACCAGAGAGACAGACAGACCTCAGAATCGGGACATAAAACACACAGCGGGGGGCGCCATCCAAGTGCAGCATAAAAACAAAGTGGCAGTTAGGCTGGAGCTCACAACGTGCTGCACAAGGAGGCCTCTTCTCCAGGGTTCCCCGGAGGTCCTGAATTCTTGTCCTCTTCCTTCCTTCACAGACGTTTCTTCATGGGAGTTGTAGTTTGTACAATGATGCTGCACTTAGTTGGCGCCCTCCACTCTGCGTGTTTTTTAGGGTTTGAATCCTATTTAGCAGACTGCAGATCATGGACTGGAAGGTATGCAGGGAATGGAAGAGGGGGAGGGGTCTCTCCAGGAATGTCTATAGCAGGGGTGTCAAACTGGCGGCCCTCCAGCTGTTGTGAAACTACAAGTCCCATCATGCCTCTGCCTTTGGGAGTCACGCTTGGAACTGTCAATCTTGCAATGCCTCATGGGACTTGTAGTTTGGCAGCAGCTGGAGGACCGCCAGTTTGACACCCGTGCCCTACAGGGACAGGGCTCTATGGCGGCCTACTTGGCAGAGGTCCGCTATGGCGGCCTACTTGGCAGAGGTCCGCTATGGCGGCCTACTTGGCAGAGGTCCGCTATGGCGGCCTACTTGGCAGAGGTCGCCTACTATGGCGGCCTACTTGGCAGAGGTCCGCTATGGCGGCCTACTTGGCAGAGGTCCGCTATGGCGGTCCTGGCGGCCTACTTGGCAGAGGTCCGCTGTGGCGGCCTACTTGGCAGAGGTCCGCTGTGGCGGCCTACTTGGCAGAGGTCCGCTGTGGCGGCCTACTTGGCAGAGGTCCGCTGTGGCGGCCTACTTGGCAGAGGTCCGCTCCGGTGTGGCGGCCTACTTGGCAGAGGTCCGCTATGGCGGCCTACTTGGCAGAGGTCCGGTTTATGGCGGCCTACTTGGCAGAGAGGTCCGGGGTGGCGGCCTACTTGGCAGAGAGGTACCGGTGTGGCGGCCTACTTGGCAGAGGTCCGGGGATGGCGGCCTACTTGGCAGAGGTCCGGTCTGGCGGCCTACTTGGCAGAGGTCCGGATCTGGCGGCCTACTTGGCAGAGGTCCGGTCTGGCGGCCTACTTGGCAGAGGTCCGGTCTGGCGGCCTACTTGGCAGAGGTCCGGTCTGGCGGCCTACTTGGCAGAGGTCCGCTCTGGCGGCCTACTTGGCAGAGGTCCGCTCTGGCGGCCTACTTGGCAGAGGTCCTGGAGATCTGGTGTAGCAGCCTGGCTATATATGAAAATCAGGGAAAAGGTATTCCACCCAAAGCTGATGGGTGACCAGGTGAGGGTGGTTCTCATGTGATGACATTCCCTGTATGTAGCCTTCAGGACCCGTACTGAGGTGACACTCGTTTCTCTCTCTGTAGATGTGGACGAGGTGACTCAGCAGATGGAGGAGTTTGAACTCCGTAAGGCCGCCGCCCGGGCAGTGACTGGTGTGTTGGCGTCACATCCGAACAGTACCGACGTTCACGTCATCAATCTGTCTCTTACATTCCATGGCCAGGAATTACTGAGTGACACCACTCTAGAACTGAACTCCGGCCGCCGCTACGGTCTCATCGGACTGAATGGGACAGGTAAGGTGACCATCATTGGGAGATATATGGGGGAGGGGGGGACGGTCACACACTCCATGCATTGTACTCAGAGGGTGGGGGCCCAGACTTTCCTCCGCTTAGTGATGATTGGTTTAGAACCGCAGTGGGACGGTCCCTATGGTGACCACATGCCGGTCATTGTCCCTCTGAGTCCCCAGCCTTGTGGTGGCCATGGAGAGAATTGGTATACTGCTCTGGTTTGTGCCTACTGAGTCCCGGCGCTGTCACATCTGTAGGCAGATACATTCACTCTGCAGAGCCACCATTAGGAAGCCGCCTGTAGACAACTCCAAATTTTAGATTTCCCGTCGCCCTCCTCTCCCAATAACAGGGGTCACCGGTACCAATCGTGAACCTCCCCAACGGGGACACCAACAGTGGGTGCCAAGCCCCGCCGCTCTGTCCAGATCTCAAATCTTGGCTTTGGTACGCTCTAAGGGCTTGTTCTCATACATGTGTGCTGAGGAAATGCAGCTCAATGGTGGGAAGGACTCCAGAGGATTGGACTGTCCATGGGGACCAATCAGACTTGGGCTTATTGTCCAAAAAATAAAATGTGAGATCTTATTGGTCAGTATGGACAATCCCTCGGATTCCTGTGTTAGTAATTGGCCTCCAGACTATGGATGACCCCTTCACGGTGAAACCCGGTCCTACATTGATGGTGACTCCAGGTTTTCCTCTCCTCTCTTCTCTTCCTTCTCCTTTGTCTTCTCCTCTGCCCCCTTCTTCTTCCTCCGCCCCCTTCTTCCTCCGCCCCCTTCTTCTTCCTTCTCCTTTGTCGCCGCCTCCTTCTGCTTCCTCCTTCTTCCTCCTTCTCCTTTGTCACCTTCTTCTTCTTCCTCCTTCGTTTTCTTCTTCCCTCTCCTTTGTCGCCACCCTCCTTCTCCTTCCACCTTCTTGTTCCTTCTCCTTTGTCTCCTCCTTCTTCCTTCTCCTTTGTCTCCTCCTTCTTCCTTCTCCTTTGTCTCCTCCTTCTTCCTTCTCCTTTGTCTCCTCCTTCTTCCTTCTCCTTTGTCTCCTCCTTCTTTCCTTCTCCTTTGTCTCCTCCTTCTTCCTTCTCCTTTGTCTCCTCCTTCTTCTTCTCCTTTGTCTCCCTCCTTCTTCTTCCTCCTTCTTCTTCCTCCTTCTTTTCTTCCTCCTTCTTCTTCCTCCTTCTTCTTCCTCCTTCTTCTTCCTCCTTCTCCTTCCTCCTTCCGCTTTCTTTTTCCTTCTCTTTTGTCGCCGCCTTCTTCTTCTTCCTCCTTCTTTCTTCCTTCTTCTTCTTCCTCCTTCTTCTTCCTCCTTCTTCTTCTCCTTCTTCTTCCTCCTCCTCTTTCTTCCTCCTTCTTCCTTCTCCTTTGTCGCCTTCTTCTTCTTCCTCCTCCTTTTTTCTCCTCCTCCTTTTCTTCTTTCTTCTCCGTTTTCTTCTTTCTTCTCCGTTTTCTTCTTTCTTCTCCGTTTTCTTCTTTCTTCTCCGTTTTCTTCTTTCTTCTCCGTTTTTCTTCTTTCTTCTCCGTTTTCTTCTTTCTTCTCCGTTTTTTCTTCTTTCTTCTCCGTTTTCTTCTTTCTTCTCCGTTTTTCTTCTTTCTTCTCCGTTTTCTTCTTTCTTCTCCGTTTTCTTCTTTCTTCTCGTCCGTTTTCTTCTTCCTTCTCCTTTGTCTCCTCCTTCTTCCTTCTCCTTTGTCTCCTTCTTCTTCTCCTTTGTCTCCTTCTTCCTTCTCCTTTGTCTCCTCCTTCTTCTTCCTTCTCCTTTGTCTCCTCCTTCGTCTTCCTTCCTTTGTCTCCTCCTTCGTCTTCCTTCTCCTTTGTCTCCTCCTTCGTCTTCCTTCTCCTTTGTCTCCTCCTTCGTCTTCCTTCTCCTTTGTCTCCTCCTTCGTCTTTCTTCCTTCTCCTTTGTCTCCTCCTTCGTCTTCCTTCTCCTTTGTCTCCTCCTTCGTCTTCCTTCTCCTTTGTCTCCTCCTTCGTCTTCCTTCTCCTTTGTCTCCTCCTTCGTCTTCCTTCTCCTTTGTCTCCTCCTTCGTCTTCCTTCTCCTTTGTCTCCTCCTTCGTCTTCCTTCTCCTTTGTCTCCTCCTTCGTCTTCCTTCTCCTTTTGTCTCCTCTTCTCCTTCCTTCTCCTTTTGTCTCCTCCTTCTCCTTCCTTCTCCTTTTGTCTCCTCCTTCTCCTTCCTTCTCCTTTTGTTTCCTCCTTCTCCTTCCTTCTCCTTTTGTTTCCTCCTTCTCCTTCCTTCTCCTTTTGTCTCCTCCTTCGTCTTCCTTCTCCTTTGTCTCCTCCTTCGTCTTCCTTCTCCTTTTGTCTCCTCCTTCTTCTTCCTTCTCCTTTTGTCTCCTCCTTCTTCTTCCTTCTCCTTTTGTCTCCTCCTTCTTCTTCCTTCTCCTTTTGTCTCCTCCTTCTCCTTCCTTCTCCTTTTGTCTCCTCCTTCTTCTTCCTTCTCCTTTTGTCTCCTCCTTCTCCTTCCTTCTCCTTTTGTCTCCTCCTTCTCCTTCCTTCTCCTTTTGTCTCCTCCTTCTTCTTCCTTCTCCTTTTGTCTCCTTCTCTTTCTTCTTCTTCTTCCTTCTCCTTTTGTCTTCTCCTCTTCTTCTTCCTTCTCCTTTTGTCTCCTCCTCTTTCTTCTTCTTCCTTCTCCTTTTGTCTCCTCCTCCCTCCTCCTCCTCCTCCTCTTTCTTTTTCCTTCTCCTCCTTCCTCCTCCTTCTTCCTCCTCCTCCTCCTTCTTCCTTCCTCTTTTCTTCCTCCTCCCTCCTCTTCAGGGAAGTCAATGCTGCTGTCAGCCATTGGTGGACGAGAGGTGCCGATACCAGAGCATATCGACATCTATCACCTGACACGGGAGATGCCACCCAGTGAGAAGAGCGCTCTGCAGTGTGTGATGGAGGTGGACTCTGAAAGAACCATGCTGGAGAAGGAGGCAGAACGCCTAGCACATGAAGATGGTGAGACATTAGGGGCTTGGCGTGTGAAAGATGGTGAAGATGGTGAAATGGTAGGGGGCTTGGCGTGTGAAGATGGTGGGATGTCGGGGGCCTGGCGTGTTGAGATGGTGGGATGTCGGGGGCCTAGCGTGTTGAGATGGTGGGGATGTCGGGGGCCTGGCGTGTGAGATGGTGGGGGTGTCGGGGGCCTGGCGTGTTGAGATGGTGGGGGTGTCGGGGGCCTGGCGTGTTGAGATGGTGGGATGTCGGGGCCTGGCGTGTGAAGATGGTGAAATGGTGGGGGGCCTGGCGTGTGAAGATGATGGGATGTCGAGGGCCTGGCGTGTGAGATGGTGGGATGTCGGGGGCCTGGCGTGTTGAGATGGTGGGATGTCGGGGGCCTGGCGTGTTGAGATGGTGGGATGTCGGGGGCCTGGCGTGTGAAGATGGTGGGGATGTCGGGGGCCTGGCGTGTTGAGATGGTGGGGGTGTCGGGGGCCTGGCGTGTTGAGATGGTGGGGATGTCGGGGGCCTGGCGTGTTGAGATGGTGAGATGGTGGGGGGGGCCTGGCGTGTGAGATGGTGGGATGTCGGGGGCCTGGCGTGTTGAGAGATGGCCTGGCGTGTTGAGATGGTGGGGTGTCGGGGCCTGGCGTGTTGAGATGGTGGGGTGCGGGCCTGTTTCGGGGGCCTGGCGTGAGATGGGGGGTGTCGGGGCTGGCGTGTTGAGATGGTGGGGTGTCGGGGGGCCTGGCGTGTTGAGATGGTGGGGGTGGGGGCCTGGCGTGTTGAGATGGTGGGGGTGTCGGGGGGGGCCTGGCGTGTTGAGATGGTGGGGATGTCGGGGGCCTGGCGTGTGTTGAGATGGTGGGGATGTCGGGGGCCTGGCGTGTTGAGATGGTGGGGGTGTCGGGGGCCTGGCGTGTGAGATGGTGGGGTGTGCCTGGCGTGTTGAGATGGTGGGGTGGGGTGCCTGGCGGGCCTGGGGGTGTCGGGGCCTGGCGTGTGGAGATGGTGGGGGGTGTCGGGGGCCTGGCGTGTGGAGATGGTGGGGGGTGTCGGGGGCCTGGCGTGTTGAGATGGTGGGGTGTCGGGGGCCTGGCGTGTGGAGATGGTGGGGGGTGTCGGGGGCCTGGCGTGTTGAGATGGTGGGATGTGTTGAGGGTGGGGTGTCGGGGGCCTGGCGTGTTGAGATGGTGGGGGTGTCGGGGGCCTGGCGTGTTGAGATGGGGGGTGTCGGGGGCCTGGCGTGTTGAGATGGTGGGGGTGTCGGGGGCCTGGCGTGTGAAGATGGTGGGATGTCGGGGGCCTGGCGTGTTGAGATGGTGGGGTGTCGGGGGCCTGGCGTGTTGAGATGGTGGGGGGTGTCGGGGGCCTGGCGTGTTGAGATGGTGGGGGTGTCGGGGGCCTGGCGTGTTGAGATGGTGGGGATGTCGGGGGCCTGGCGTGTGAGATGGTGGGGTGGGGGCCTGGCGTCGAGATGGTGGGGGTGTCGGGGGCCTGGCGTGTTGAGATGGTGGGGATGTCGGGGGCCTGGCGTGTTGAGATGGTGGGGGTGTCGGGGGCCTGGCGTGTTGAGATGGTGGGGGTGTCGGGGGCCTGGCGTGTTGAGATGGTGGGATGTCGGGGGCCTGGCGTGTTGAGATGGTGGGATGTCGGGGGCCTGGCGTGTTGAGATGGTGGGATGTCGGGGGCCTGGCGTGTTGAGATGGTGGGATGTCGGGGGCCTGGCGTGTTGAGATGGTGGGATGTCGGGGGCCTGGCGTGTTGAGATGGTGGGGGTGTCGGGGGGCCTGGCGTGTTGAGATGGTGGGGATGTCGGGGGCCTGGCGTGTTGAGATGGTGGGGTGTCGGGGGCCTGGCGTGTTGAGATGGTGGGGGATGTCGGGGGCCTGGCGTGTTGAGATGGTGGGATGTCGGGGGCCTGGCGTGTTGAGATGGTGGGATGTCGGGGGCCTGGCGTGTTGAGATGGTGGGGGTGTCGGGGGCCTGGCGTGTTGAGATGGTGGGGGTGTCGGGGGCCTGGCGTGTTGAGATGGTGGGATGTCGGGGGCCTGGCGTGTTGAGATGGTGGGGTCTATGTACATGGTCATGTTTGATGGGTTGAACCTCTCCAGATCCTCCTGACTGTCCTGTTGGTCTGTAGAAGCTCCACCTTCTTCTGTGTTCATCCCTGTCCTCCCCCCATGTTTGTAGCGGAGTGTGAGAAGCTGCTGGAGATCTACGAGCGGTTGGAGGAGTTGGATGCTGCCAAAGCCGAGGTTCGAGCGTCGCGCATTCTGCATGGTTTGGGCTTCTCCCCGGCCATGCAGAGGAAGAAGCTGAAGGATTTCAGTGGCGGTTGGAGGATGCGAGTTGCTCTGGCCAGGTATTGAGCCAATCTGGTGTCATGGTGGTGGGGATTGGTCTGTGGGTCTGTGGGGGTGGGTCTATGGCGGGGGCCGGTCTGTGGGTCTACGGTGGGGATTGGTCTTGTGAGTCTATGGCGGGGGGCCGGTCTGTGGGTGGTAGGGGTCTGTGGTGGGGGTTGGTCTATGGCGGGGGTCGGTTCTGTGGGTCTTGGTCTGGGTCGGTCTGGGGTGAACTATGGTCTATGGGGCTGGATCTATGGTTGGGGGTCATCTATGGGTCGTTCTGTGGGTCTATGGTGGGGGTCAGTCACTCTATGGGTCGTTCTGTGGGTCTATGGTGGGGGTCATGTCTGGGGTCTATGGTGGGGTAAGTCTATGGGTTGGGTCTGGGGAACTATGGTGAGCAGTCAGTCTATGGGTCGGCCTATGTGGGGGGTCAATCTGTGGGTCGTTCTGTTGGTCTCTGGTGGGGGTTGGTCTGTGGGGGTCTGTCTGGGGAACTATGGTGGGGGTGGATCTATGGTGGGAGTCGGTCTGGGGAGCTATGGTGGGTCTATGGGTCGTTCTGTTGGTCTATGGTGGGGGTCGGTCTGTGGGTCTCTGGTGGGGGTCTGTCTGGGGAACTATGGTGGGGGTGGATCTATGGTGGGAGTCTGTCTGGGGAGCTATGGTGGGTCTATGGGTCGCTCTGTGGGTCTCTGGTGGGGGTCGGCCTGTGGGTCTCTGGTGGGGGTCGGCCTGTGGGTCTCTGGTGGGGGTCAGTCTGGGGAGCTATGTGGGTCTCTGGTGGGTGTCGGCCTGTGGGTCTCTGGTGGGGGTCGGCGTGTGGGTCTCTGGTGCGGGTCTGTCTGGGGAACTATGGTGGGGGTGGATCTATGGTGGGAGTCAGTCTGGGGAGCTATGGTAGGTCTATGGGTCGGTCTGGGGATCTATGGTGGGGGTGGATCTATGGCGGGGGTCGGTCTGGGGGTCTATGAACACTTGTCTTTGTCTGCAGGGCTTTGTTCATCCGGCCATTCATGTTACTTCTGGACGAGCCGACCAATCACCTGGATCTGGAGGCGTGTGTGTGGCTGGAGGAGGAGCTGAAGTGGTGAGTCCCCGCCCCCGCAGAGCTCCATACACGGCATGACGTCGCGATGATGACACGTTTCTCTTCTCTGACTTTCAGCTTCCGGAGGATTCTGGTTCTCGTTTCCCATTCACAGGATTTCCTGAACGGAGTTTGTACAAATATCATCCACCTGCACAACCGCAAACTGAAATACTACACCGTGAGTACCGGGGGGGGGGGGGGCCGTGTGAGTACGTGGGGGGGGGGGCCGTGTGAGTACTGGGGGGGGGGGGGCCGTGTGAGTACCGAGGGGGGGGGGGCGTGTGAGTGAGTACTGGGGGGGGGCGGGGGGTTGTGAGTACCGGGGGGGGGGGGCCGTGTGAGTACTGGGGGGGGGCCGTGTGAGTACCGAGGGGGGGGGGGGCCGTGTGAGTACCGAGGGGGGGGGGGGCCCCCCGTGTGAGTACCGAGGGGGGGGGGGGGCCGTGTGAGTACCGAGGGGGGGGGGGCCGTGTGAGTAGTGGGGGGGGGGCGGTGTGTGTGTAGAGTAGTGGGGGGGGGGCCGTGTGAGTACTGGGGGGGGGGCAGTGTGAGTACTGGGGGGGGGGGGCCGTGTGAGTACTGGGGGTGGGGGCGTACTGGGGGGGGGGGCAGTGTGAGTACTGGGGGGGGGGGGCAGTGTGAGTACTGTGGGGGGGGGGGGGGGCATGGGGGGGGTGTGAGTAGGTGAGGGGGGATGGAGTGTGACGAGGGGGCCATGGGAGTATCAACCGGGGGGGGGGCAGGGTGGTTACTGGGGGGCGGCATACCACAGGGAGGCGTGTGAGTATCGAGGTGGGGGGGGGCGCAGTGTGAGTACGAGGGGGGGGGGGGGCCAGTCCGGTGACCTCCTACTGGGGGGGGGGGGCAGTGTGCAAGTAACGACCTGTGAGTTACTGTGGGGGGGGGACTGGAGATCAGTGTGATTACCGAGGGGGGCAGAGGGGGAAACTGGTGGATGGTACTGAAGGTGGGAGAGTGTTTCGGGCCATCAGTAGGTGGGGGAGGGGGGGAGGGGATGGGGAATCGGGGGCATTGGGGGGGAGAGGATGGGGAATCGTGGGCATTGGGGGTGGGGTGATCATATGAGTCTGACTCCTCCCCCTCCCGCCCATCCAGGGTAACTATGACCAGTATGTGAAGACCCGGCTGGAGTTGGAGGAGAATCAGATGAAGAGATTTTAATTGGGAGCAGGATCAGATCGCACATATGAAGGTGAGTGGGTGTGTCCCATGGGGTGGGGGCGGGGCTTGTTATGCGCAGTTCTCACCTTTTGGCTCCTCCCCAGAATTACATCGCACGGTTCGGTCACGGCAGCGCCAAGTTGGCCCGTCAGGCTCAGAGCAAAGAGAAGACCCTGCAGAAGATGATGTCATCGGGGCTGACGGAGCGCGTGATCACTGATAAGGTGGGGGAGGGGGCGGTCACTGATAAGGTGGGGGAGGGGGCGGCGGTCACTGATAAGGTGGGGGAGGGGGCGGTCACTGATGGGGGAGGGGGGCGGTCACTGATGGGGGAGGGGGCGGTCACTGATGGGGGAGGGGGGGGGTCACTGATAAGGTGGGGGAGGGGGCGCGGGTCACTGATGGAGGGTGGGGAGGGGGCGGTCACTGATAAGGTGGGGGGGGGAGGGGAGGGGGCGGTCACTGATGGGGGAGGGCGCGGTCACTGATGGGGGAGGGGGGCGGTCACTGATAAGGTGGGGGAGGGGGCGGGGGGTCACTGATGGGGGAGGGGGCGGTCCCTGGTAAGGAGGGGCGGTGCCTGTGTTCGGAGGAGTGACCTCTCGGTGTTCCATGTTTCAGACTCTGTCCTTCTTCTTCCCTCCTGCGGGAAGATTCCCCCTCCAGTCATCATGGTGCAGAATGTCAGCTTCCGCTACACACAGGACGGGGTGAGTACAGGGGGAGCCTCATCACTACTGCTGTCCCGCTCTCTGCCTCTTGGTGGCGCTCTCTCGGCGCTCTCTCGGCTCTTTCTCTCTCACACTCGGTGGCGCTCTCTTTCTCTCTCACACTCGGTGGCGCTCTCTCTCTCGGCGCTCTCTTTCTCTCTCACACTCGGTGGCGCTCTCTTTCTCTCTCACACTCGGTGGCGCTCTCTTTCTCTCTCACACTCGGTGGCGCTCTCTTTCTCTCTCACACTCGGTGGCGCTCTCTTTCTCTCTCACACTCGGTGGCGCTCTTTTTCTCTCTCACACTCGGTGGCGCTCTCTTTCTCTCTCACACTCGGTGGCGCTCTCTTTCTCTCTCACACTCGGTGGCGCTCTTTCTCTCTCACACTCGGTGGCGCTCTCTTTCTCTCTCACACTCGGTGGCGCTCTCTCTCTCGGCGCTCTCTTTCTCACACTCGGTGGCGCTCTCTTTCTCTCACACTCGGTGGCGCTCTTTCTCTCTCACACTCGGTGGCGCTCTTTCTCTCTCACACTCGGTGGCGCTCTTTCTCTCTCACACTCGGTGGCGCTCTCTTTCTCACACTCGGTGGCGCTCTCTTTCTCTCTCACACTCGGTGGCGCTCTCTTTCTCTCTCACACTCGGTGGCGCTCTCTTTCTCTCACACACTCGGTGGCGCTCTCTTTCTCTCACACTCGGTGGCGCTCTCTTTCTCTCTCACACTCGGTGGCGCTCTCTTTCTCTCTCACACTCGGTGGCGCTCTCTTTCTCTCTCACACTCGGTGGCGCTCTCTTTCTCTCTCACACTCGGTGGCGCTCTCTTTCTCTCTCACACTCGGTGGCGCTCTCTTTCTCTCTCACACTCGGTGGCGCTCTCTTTCTCTCTCACACTCGGTGGCGCTCTCTTTCTCTCTCACACTCGGTGGCGTCTCTCTTTCTCTCTCACACTCGGTGGCGCTCTCTTTCTCTCTCACACTCGGTGGCGCTCTTTCTCTCTCACACTCGGTGGCGCTCTCTTTCTCTCTCACACTCGGTGGCGCTCCTCTTTCTCTCTCACACTCGGTGGCGCTCTCTTTCTCTCTCACACTCGGTGGCGCTCTCTTTCTCTCTCACACTCGGTGGCGCTCTCTTTCTCTCACACTCGGTGGCGCTCTCTTTCTCTCACACTCGGTGGCGCTCTCTTTCTCTCTCACACTCGGTGGCGCTCTTTCTCTCTCACACTCGGTGGCGCTCTCTTTCTCTCTCACACTCGGTGGCGCTCTCTTTCTCTCTCACACTCGGTGGCGCTCTCTTTCTCTCTCACACTCGGTGGCGCTCTCTTTCTCTCTCACACTCGGTGGCGCTCTCTTTCTCTCACACACACTCGGTGGCGCTCTCTTTCTCTCTCACACTCGGTGGCGCTCTCTTTCTCTCACACACTCGGTGGCGCTCTCTTTCTCTCACACTCGGTGGCGCTCTCTTTCTCTCACACTCGGTGGCGCTCTCTTTCTCTCTCACACACTCGGTGGCGCTCTCTTTCTCTCTCACACTCGGTGGCGCTCTTTCTCTCTCACACTCGGTGGCGCTCTCTTTCTCTCTCACACTCGGTGGCGCTCTCTTTCTCTCTCACACTCGGTGGCGCTCTCTTTCTCTCTCACACTCGGTGGCGCTCTCTTTCTCTCTCACACTCGGTGGCGCTCTCTTTCTCTCTCACACTTGGTGCTCTTTTCTCTCTCACACTCGGTGGCGCTCTCTTTCTCTCTCACATTCGGTGGCGCTCTCTTTCTCTCTCACATTCGGTGGCGCTCTCTTTCTCTCTCACATTCGGTGGCGCTCTCTTTCTCTCTCACACTCGGTGGCGCTCTCTTTCTCTCTCACACTCGGTGGCGGCGCTCTCTTTCTCTCTCACACTCGGTGGCGCTCTCTTTCTCTCTCACACTCGGCGGCGCTCTCTTTCTCTCTCACACTCGGTGGCGCTCTCTTTCTCTCTCACACTCGGTGGCGCTCTCTTTCTCTCTCACACTCGGCGGCGCTCTCTTTCTCTCTCACACTCGGCGGCGCTCTCTTTCTCTCTCACACTCGGTGGCGCTCTCTTTCTCTCTCACACTCGGTGGCGCTCTCTTTCTCTCTCACACTTGGTGCTCTTTCTCTCTCACACTCGGTGGCGCTCTCTTTCTCTCTCACATTCGGTGGCGCTCTCTTTCTCTCTCACATTCGGTGGCGCTCTCTTTCTCTCTCACACTCGGTGGCGCTCTCTTTCTCTCTCACACTCGGCGGCGCTCTCTTTCTCTCTCACACTCGGCGGCGCTCTCTTTCTCTCTCACACTCGGCGGCGCTCTCTTTCTCTCTCACACTCGGCGGCGCTCTCTTTCTCTCTCACACTCGGCGGCGCTCTCTTTCTCTCTCACACTCGGCGGCGCTCTCTTTCTCTCTCACACTCGATCCATTCTTGTCTTTCCTCAGCCTCTCATCTACAAGAACATAGAGTTTGGAATAGACCTGGACACCCGTGTGGCCCTTGTAGGACCGAATGGAGCCGGAAAGTCCACTCTGCTTAAACTGCTGACAGGAGAGGTGAGTGCGTCCTCGTATCGCCCCAAGCACGCCCTCGTATCGTCACGCCCTCGTATCGCCCCAAGCACGCCCTCGTATCGTCACGCCCTCGTATCGTCACGCCCTCGTATCGTCACGCCCTCGTATCGTCACGCCCTCGTATTGTCACGCCCTCGTATCGCCCCGAGCACGCCCTCGTATCGTCGTCCCCAGCACTTCCTCATTGTCCTGAGCTCGCCCCCGTATCGGCACGCCCTCGTATCATCGTCCCTGGCGCTCCCTCGTATCGTCGTCCCCAGCGCTTCCTCATCATCCCGAGCACGCCCTCGTATCGTCGTCCCCAGCGCTTCATCATCCCTGGCGCGCCCTCGTATCGTCGTCCCCAGCACTTCCTCATTGTCCTGAGCTCGCCCCCGTATCGGCACGCCCTCGTATCATCGTCCCTGGCGCTCCCTCATATCGTCGTCCCGAGCTCGCCCTCGTATCATCGTCCCTGGCGCTCCCTCATATCGTCGTCCCCAGCGTTTCCTCATCGTCCCGAGCTCGCCCTCGTATCGTCGTCCCCAGCGTTTCCTCATCGTCCCGAGCTCGCCCTCGTATCGTCGTCCCCAGCGTTTCCTCATCGTCCCGAGCTCGCCCTCGTATCGTCGTCCCCAGCGCTTCCTCATCGTCCCGAGCTCGCCCTCGTATCGTCGTCCCCAGCGCTTCCTCATCGTCCCGAGCTCGCCCTCGTATCGTCGTCCCCAGCGTTTCCTCATCGTCCCGAGCTCGCCCTCGTATCGTCGTCCCCAGCGTTTCCTCATCGTCCCGAGCTCGCCCTCGTATCGTCGTCCCCAGCGCTTCATCATCCCTGGCGCGCCCTCGTATCGTCGTCCCCGGAGCTTCCTCATCGTCCCGAGCGCGCCCTCGTATCGTCGTCCCCGGAGCTTCCTCATCGTCCCGAGCGCGCCCTCGTATCGTCGTCCCTGGCGCGCCCTCGTATCGTCGTCCCCGGAGCTTCCTCATCGTCCCGAGCGCGCCCTCGTATCGTCGTCCCCAGCGCTTCATCATCCCAGGCGCGCCCTCGTATCGTCGTCCCCGGCACTTCCTCACCGTCCCGAGTGCGCCCTCGTATCGTCGTCCCCGGAGCTTCCTCACCGTCCCGAGCGCGCCCTCGTATCGTCGTCCCCGGAGCTTCCTCACCGTCCCGAGCGCGCCCTCGTATCGTCGTCCCCGGAGCTTCCTCATCGTCCCGAGCGCGCCCTCGTATCGTCGTCCCCAGCGCTTCATCATCCCAGGCGCGCCCTCGTATCGTCGTCCCCGGCACTTCCTCACGTCCCCGAGTGCGCCCTCGCATCGTCGTCCCCGGAGCTTCCTCACCGTCCCGAGCGCGCCCTCGTATCGTCGTCCCCGGAGCTTCCTCATCGTCCCGAGCGCGCCCTCGTATCGTCGTCCCCCAGCGCTTCATCATCCCAGGCGCGCCCTCTTATCGTCGTCCCCGGCACTTCTCCTCGCCGTCCCGAGTGCGCCCTCGTATCGTCGTCCCCGGTACTTCCTCGCCGTCCCGAGTGCGCCCTCGTATCGTCGTCCCCGGCACTTCCTCGCCGTCCCGAGTGCGCCCTCGTATCGTCGTCCCTGGCACTTCCTCGCCGTCCCGAGTGCGCCCTCGTATCGTCGTTCCCGGCACTTCCTCGTTGTCCCCAGTGCGCCCTCGTATCGTCGTCCCCGGAGCTTCCTCGTCGTCCCGAGTGCGCCCTCGTATCGTCGTCCCCGGAGCTTCCTCATCGTCCCGAGCTCGCCCTCATATCGTCGTCCCCAGCGCTTCATCGTCCCGAGTGCGCCCTCGTATCGTCGTTCCCGGCAGTTCCTCGTTGTCCCCAGTGCGCCCTCGTATCGTCGTCCCCGGAGCTTCCTCGTGGTCCCGAGAGCGCGCCCTCCTATCATGCGTTTAATGAAATCATAGTGGTAAGGGAGATTCAGACGCTTCCTTTTCCAGGGTAGCAATGTTTTCTTGGTTTAACTGCCTGAGGTGGCGCCCTTGCCTGCATGCTCCGGGGTTGGAATACAAGCAGCCGGCTCAGTGCGCTGCCATGTCCCACTGTAGTCACCGTAGTAAATTGGTGGCGTGTGGACACATTTTGGGGACGTTTTACAAAGAATCCTTGGGATGGAGGGCCTTGGGATGATGGAGGTCTTCGGGACGGAGATCCTGGTGATGGTGGTCTTCGGAATTGAGATCCTAGGGATGGTGGTCTTCGGGATGGTGGCCTTTGTGATGGAGATCCTGGGGGTGGTTGTCTTCGAAATGGTGGTCTTCGGGATGGTGGCCTTCGGGATGGAGATCCTGGGGATGGTGACCTTTGGGAAGGAGATGGGGATGGTGGCCTTTGGGATGGAGATCCTGGGGATGGGGTGGTCTTCAGGATGGTGGCCTTTGGGATGGAGATCCTGGGGATGGTGGCCTTTGGGATGGAGATCCTGGGGATGGTGGCCTTTGGGATGGAGATCCTGGGGGGGTGGCCTTTGGGATGGAGATCCTGGGGATGGTGGCCTTTGGGATGGAGATCCTGGGGATGGTGGTGGCCCTGGGGATGGTGGCCTTTGGGATGGAGATCCTGGGGATGGTGGCCTTTGGGATGGAGATCCTGGGGATGGTGGCCTTTGGGATAGAGATCCTGGGGATGGTGGCCTTTGGGGTGGTGGTGGCCTTTGGGATGGAGATCTGGGGATGGTGGCCTTTGGGATGGTGGCCTTTGGGATGGAGATCCTGGGGATGGTGGTCTTTGGGAAGGAGATGGTGGCCTGGGGATGGAGGCCTGGGAAGGAGATCCTGGGGATGGTGGCCTTGGGGGATGGAGATCCTGGGGTTGGTGGCCTTGGGGGGGATGGTGGCCTTCGGGATGGAGATCCTGGGGTTGGTGGCCTTTGGGAAGGAGATCCTGGGGATGGTGGCCTTTGGGAAGGAGATCCTGGGGATGGTGGCCTTTGGGAAGGAGATCCTGGGGATGGTGGCCTTTGGGAAGGAGATCCTGGGGATGGTGGCCTTTGGGAAGGAGATCCTGGGGATCCTGGGGATGGTGGCCTTTGGGAAGGAGATCCTGGGGATGGTGGCCTTTGGGAAGGAGATCCTGGGGATGGTGGCCTTTGGGAAGGAGATCCTGGGGATGGTGGCCTTTGGGAAGGAGATCCTGGGGATGGTGGCCTTTGGGAAGGAGATCCTGGGGATGGTGGTGGCCTTTGGGAAGGAGATCCTGGGGATGGTGGCCTTTGGGAAGGAGATCCTGGGGATGGTGGCCTTTGGGAAGGAGATCCTGGGGATGGTGGCCTTTGGGAAGGAGATCCTGGGGATGGTGGCCTTTGGGAAGGAGATCCTGGGGATGGTGGCCTTTGGGATGGAGATCCTGGGGATGGTGGCCTTTGGGAAGGAGATCCTGGGGATGGTGGCCTTTGGGATGGAGATCCTGGGGATGGTGGCCTTTGGGATGGAGATCCTGGGGATGGTGGCCTTCGGGATGGAGGTCCTCTGTGAGGGATTGACCAGATAGAAATGCCCTCACAGTTCCTTAGTGTCCGCCCACAGAGGCCATGCGGTAATCCCACCCTTTCCTGTCTCTCCAGTTGCTGCCCTCTGATGGAATGATCCGGAAACATTCTCATGTGAAGATTGGGCGGTATCACCAGCACCTCACTGAACAGTTGGACCTGGACCTCTCCCCTCTGGAGTACATGATGAAGTGTTACCCCGAAATAAAGGAGAAGGAGGAAATGAGGAAGATCATTGGGCGATATGGACTGACGGGGAAGCAGCAGGTGAGCCTGGTGATCCCTCTGTAGACGCCCTTTGGCACCATAGACTCCGCCCCCCCATCTATAGGTAACCCTCATTCCCATCTGTCTAGGTGAGTCCAATCCGGAACCTTTCCGATGGGCAGAAGTGCCGCGTGTGCTTCGCTTGGCTGGCTTGGCAGAACCCACACATGCTCTTCCTGGACGAGCCGACCAATCACCTGGACATTGAGACCATCGACGCGCTGGCTGACGCCATCAATGAGTTTGAGGGAGGAATGATGCTGGTCAGCCATGACTTCAGGCTCATTCAGCAGGTGAGAGGACCCTGACCAGCATGCATTGTTCTTCTCCCCTCTTCTAACCCTCGGGGTTCTGGTTGGGTACAGGTGGGAGGAGTCTGACCAGCATGCATTGTGTTGTTCTTCTCCCCTCTTCTAACCCTCGGTGCGTTCTGGTTGGGTGCAGGAGGGAGGACCCTGACCAGCATGCATTGTTCTTCTCCCCTCTTCTAACCCTCGGGGTTCTGGTTGGGTGCAGGTGGGAGGACCCTGACCAGCATGCATTGTGCTCTTCTCCCCTCTTCTAACCCTCGGTGTTCTGGTTTTCTCCAGGTGGGAGGATCCTGACCAGCATGCATTGTGGTGTTCTCCCCTCCTCTAACCCCCGGTGCTCTGGTTGTCTCCACGTTGGAGGATCCTTCCCAGTATGCGTTGTGGTGTTCTCCCCTCTTCTAACCTTCGGTGCTCTGGTTGTCTCCAGGTGGGAGGAGTCTGACCGGCGTGTATTGTGTTGTTCTCCCCTCCTCTAACCCCCGATGCTCTGGTTGTCTCCAGGTGGGAGGAGTCTCACCGGCGTGTATTGTGTTGTTCTCCCCTCCTCTAACCCCCGATGCTCTGGTTGTCTCCAAGTGGGAGGAGTCTGACCGGCGTGTTTTGTGTTGTTTCTCCCCTCCTCTAACCCCCGGTGCTCTGGTGGTCTCCAGGTGGGAGGAGTCTCACTGGCGTGTATTGTGGTGTTCTCCCCTCCTCTAACCCGGTGCTCTGGTTGTCTCCAGGTGGGAGGAGTCTCACTGGCGTGTATTGTGGTGTTCTCCCCTCCTCTAACCCTGGTGCTCTGGTTGTCTCCAGGTGGGAGGAGTCTGACCGGCGTGTTTTTGTGTTGTTCTCCCCTCCTCTAACCCCGGTGCTCTGGTTGTCTCCAGGTGGGAGGAGTCTGACCGGCGTGTTTTGTGTTGTTCTCCCCTCCTCTAACCCCGGTGCTCTGCTTGTCTCCAGGTGGGAGGGGTCTGACCGGCGTGTTTTGTGTTGTTCTCCCCTCCTCTAACCCCGGTGCTCTGGTTGTCTCCAGGTGGGAGGAGTCTGACCGGCGTGTTTTGTGGTGTTCTCCCCTCCTCTAACCCCGGTGCTCTGCTTGTCTCCAGGTGGGAGGAGTCTGACCGGCGTGTTTTGTGTTGTTCTCCCCTCCTCTAACCCCGGTGCTCTGCTTGTCTCCAGGTGGGAGGAGTCTGACCGGCGTGTTTTGTGTTGTTCTCCCCTCCTCTAACCCCGGTGCTCTGCTTGTCTCCAGGTGGCTCAGGAGATCTGGGTGTGTGAGAAGCAGTCGGTTACGAAGTGGAAAGGAGACATCTTGTCCTACAAGCAGCACCTGAAGTCCCGGCTGAGCGAGGACGAGCCGCAACGAAAGGGCAACTGAAGGAGTGCAGATGGTTCCCGACGTTCCCTCCAACAGAAACCTCCGTAGTCATCAGCTTGAAGAAGCCCCCATTGCTGTGGATGGCCACCCCTCCGTGTCACCGGCTCAGGACATTGGTGACGGGGCCCACAGGGCAGCGAGTAGTCGGGCTTCTCAGGACAGGACGTGGCTAGTGGTGGGCCCAGGGGGTGGAGCATCACTGACCCCCTTCTGCGCTCTCCTCATCTGACCCGATTTTCATGGTTTCTTTGGGGGTTTTTTTTTTTTTGTTTTTTTTCTTTTTGTTTTTTTTTTAAGCAAATTATTTATCTGTAACTGAAAAGATAATAAAGAGAGAAACTCTGTTCTGTAAGTTCATTGGTTGGCGGACTGTTTGGAGGCGGGGCCACACTCTTCCCGTCGATGTTCATAGATGAGGCCTTCCAATTCGTTGGATTTCACCAGAGACTGCCTGGGTATAACTTCACATTCAGGGTACCGCGCCTAAAACCTCGATGGTGTTGGCCCCACCCATAAGGGGGATGGACACCAAAGGAGAGAGATACCTGAGTAATGCTTATTGGACCCTTTGATTCCAGCCAGAGGCTCCTCCCACCCGAACAGAAAACATTTCACTGTACACCAGAAGAGGTCCCACCAAGAAGTGGATCGGGAATTCGGCCAATCTGTATAACGTGCTGACATACTAGGAGCCAAGTCCAGCAAGGAGCACGCCACCTCTGGACCTCCTCTGTTGCATCTGACAGTTTTCTGGAGCTCTGGGAGTACAGCTATCCCTACACTCCAGGAGAACCGCTGCCTTCTGCACCACAGCCTCTCTGCCCGCCCCTTCTCTCCACTGTCCACTCACAGCAGCCTTTGAGGGGAGGGCGGGCACAGCAGCTGAAGGAGCTGAGCCCAGAAGGCCTAACACTGGAAGTATAGCGATAGCTAGGCTCCCGGCGCTCCATAAAAAACACAATGCACCTCGTTGGACCTGACCCCTGGTAATCCAGAACATTTTCCAAAGTGGCTGAAATTCCTGGAGTTTATCTGCCGTAAACTTTAGGGGAGGCTCCGGAAAATGCCAACATGCCGTATATTGGTTATAGGGGCCGGAACCCTTTTGTCCCGGAAGACTCTTGGACACTGAGCCTCTCCTAAGTCTCTAGTTGTCTTCCAGGACAGTCCCTGAGAGAATAATCTAGAATTTACCAGGATGGGGGGGGAGGGGACTTGCCGGACCTCCCTTCTGAAAGCCTGGATACTAGGAGATCTAGCCTGTAGTGTCAGTTGTCACCTTTAGAGTTCTGTCCAGGGAAGACTTGGTCCTTCTGCCCATCAAGGTGGGTGAGATGAGACCTGAGGACTTCCCCCGCAGACACTGAGGACTTCCCTCGCAAACACTGAGGACTTCCCTCCTCCCTCCCCCGCAGACACTGAGGACTTCCCTCCTCCCTCCCCCGCAGACACTGAGGACTTCCCGCCTCCTTCCCCCGCAGACACTGAGGACTTCCCGCCTCCTTCCCCCGCAGACACTGAGGACTTCCCGCCTCCTTCCCCCGCAGACACTGAGGACTTCCCGCCTCCTTCCCCCGCAGACACTGAGGACTTCCCGCCTCCTTCCCCCGCAGACACTGAGGACTTCCCGCCTCCTTCCCCCGCAGACACTGAGGACTTCCCGCCTCCTTCCCCCGCAGACACTGAGGACTTCCCGCCTCCTTCCCCCGCAGACACTGAGGACTTCCCGCCTCCTTCCCCCGCAGACACTGAGGACTTCCCGCCTCCTTCCCCCGCAGACACTGAGGACTTCCCGCCTCCTTCCCCCGCAGACACTGAGGGCTTCCCGCCTCCTTCCCCCGCAGACACTGAGGGCTTCCCGCCTCCTTAACCCGCAGACACTGAGGGCTTCCCTCCTCCTTCCCCCGCAGACACTGAGGGCTTCCCTCCTCCTTCCCCCGCAGACACTGAGGGCTTCCCCCCTCCTTCCCCCGCAGACACTGAGGACTTCCCCCCTCCCTCCCCCGCAGACACTGAGGACTTCCCTCCTCCCTCCCCCGCAGACACTGAGGACTTCCCTCCTCCCTCCCCCGCAGACACTGAGGACTTCCCTCCTCTCTCCCCCGCAGACACTGAGGATTTCCCTCCTCTCTCCCCCGCAGACACTGAGGACTTCCCTCCTCTCTCCCCCGCAGACACTGAGGACTTCCCTCCTCTCTCCCCCGCAGACACTGAGGACTTCCCTCCACCTCCCCCCGTAGACTTCCCTCCACCTTTTCCACTGAGGACTTCCCTCCTCTCTCCCCCGCAGACACTGAGGACTTCCCTCCTCTCTCCCCCGCAGACACTGAGGACTTCCCGCCTCCTTCCCCCGCAGACACTGAGGGCTTCCCGCCTCCTTCCCCCGCAGACACTGAGGGCTTCCCGCCTCCTTAACCCGCAGACACTGAGGGCTTCCCTCCTCCTTCCCCCGCAGACACTGAGGGCTTCCCTCCTCCTTCCCCTGCAGACACTGAGGGCTTCCCCCCTCCTCCCCCGCAGACACTGAGGACTTCCCCCCTCCCTCCCCCGCAGACACTGAGGACTTCCCTCCTCCCTCCCCCGCAGACACTGAGGACTTCCTCCTCCCTCCCCCGCAGACACTGAGGACTTCCCTCCTCTCTCCCCCGCAGACACTGAGGATTTCCCTCCTCTCTCCTCCGCAGACACTGAGGACTTCCCTCCTCTCTCCCCCGCAGACACTGAGGACTTCCCTCCTCTCTCCCCCGCAGACACTGAGGACTTCCCTCCACCTTTTCCCGTAGACACTGAGGACTTCCCTCCTCTCTCCCCCGCAGACACTGAGGACTTCCCTCCTCTCTCCCCCGCAGACACTGAGGACTTCCCTCCTCTCTCCCCCGCAGACACTGAGGACTTCCCTCCTCTCTCCCCCGCAGACACTGAGGACATCCCTCCTCTCTCCCCCGCAGACACTGAGGACTTCCCTCCTCCTTCCCCTGCAGACACTGAGGACTTCCCTCCACCTTTTCCCGCAGACACTGAGGACTTCCCTCCACCTTTTCCCGCAGACACTGAGGACTTCCCTCCTCCTTCCCCCGCAGACACTGAGGACTTCCCTCCACCTTTTCCCGCAGACACTGAGGACTTCCCTCCTTCCCCTGCAGCTCCTGTGGCTCTAGGGCTGATTGAAGCTTAGCTTGGTGTCTCCTCCTTTTGGTCCTTGGTCGTGCTCAGTGAAGGAGTGGTTGGTGAGCAGAGGCCGATGGCAGACGGCAGTGAAGGTCCCGTCCTATTTATGGGTGATAATATGAACGTATTTCTGATGTGGAAGGAAGTTCTGAGACGAGGCTCCAAGGGAAAATCCTTTGACTCTAGTCCCGGAATTCCAGCTGCTTCAGATCTTCCAGTCTGTAGAGTTGGATGCCATTCTCGAGGATTTGCCCCCATGAGGGTCTGCAGCAAACTTCGAGCCGGTCTGTGTCAGCATTCTTCGAGTCGTTTCCTCCGAGTCATATTTAGAATCCATTTGGTATGAAATGAGGCAGAAAATTGTCTGTAAACATCATTCTGAGAATGAGACATCTGGAGCTTCTGGGAGATCTTCATCTGGTCTCCAGGCAACACGCTCCCCTCATCCACCTATTTACCAACCAGAGAATTCTCCCCTCATAATAGACCTGAGATGGTTATATCCTTTCTTCAGAGATTGTCCACCTCTGAAGGTGTATTGCCCCAAGTATCGGTCCACCGGCCTTTCCACACACATGACCTTTAATGGCCCCCCAGTCTTAGTCCGTAGGGTTCAATATTGAGTTGGCCCCGCCCTTTCCACACCCATGACCTTTAATTGCCCCCCAGTCTTAGTCTGTAGGGTTCAATATTGAGTTGGCCCCGCCCTTTCCACACCCATGACCTTTAATTGCCCCCCAGTCTTAGTCTGTAGGGTTCAATATTGAGTTGGCCCCGCCCTTTCCCCGCACATGACCTTTAATGGCCCCCCAGTCTTAGTCCGTAGGATTCAATATTGAGTTGGCCCCGCCCTTAACCCCGCACATGACCTTTAATGGCCCCCCAGTCTTAGTCCATAGGGTTCAATATTGAGTTGGCCCCGCCCTTTCCATACACAAGACCTTTAATGGCCCCCCAGTCTTAATCCGTAGGGTTCAATATTGCCTGGGGGCATGATTGTATACCCCTGTGTCCATGGAGGGGATTGGAACACCTGAATCACATGATATGGGGGGATTGGAACACCTGAATCACATGATTGGAGGGGATTGGAACACCTGAATCACATGATTGGGAGGAGATTGGAGCACCTGAATCACATGATATGGAGGGGATTGGAACACCTGAATCACATGATATGGAGGGGATTGGAACACCTGAATCACATGATTGGGAGGGGATTGGAACACCTGAATCACATGATATGGAAGGTATTAGAACACCTGAATCGCATGATATGGAGGGGATTGGAACACCTGATTCACATGATATGGAGGGGATTGGAACACCTGAATCACATAATATGGGGGGGGATTGGAACACCTGAATCACACAATATGGAGGGGATTGGAACACCTGAATCACATGATATGGGGGGATTGGAACACCTGAATCACATGATTGGAGGGGATTGGAACACCTGAATCACATGATTGGGAGGGGATTGGAGCACCTGAATCACATGATATGGAGGGGATTGGAACACCTGAATCACATGATATGGAGGGGATTGGAACACCTGAATCACATGATTGGGAGGGGATTGGAACACCTGAATCACATGATATGGAAGGTATTAGAAACACCTGAATCGCATGATATGGAGGGGATTGGAACACCTGAATCACATGATATGGAGGGGATTGGAACACCTGAATCACATGATATGGGGGGGATTGGAACACCTGAATCACATGATATGGAGGGGATTGGAACACCTGAACCCAAGGATTTGGAGGGGGCAGGCCCAATACTTTTGGCAATATATTGTGTGTCCGTTGTGGTGATCGGAGTGAAGGTGGAATGGTTCAGTCTGGACCCTATTCTTCACAATGGCACATTGACTCCTTCATGACTTATTTCCTCTTCTTTGGGTCCGCTCACTGATATCCTCGTATTATGAGAATTAGTCGAGTAAACGTGGCATTAGAGAACGATGCTTTTCCCGACCCCTTCTATAATGTGGATGTTCAGTGTCTCCTGTCCTGGCAGATCGTGGCGTCTGTATGAGAGCGGGTGCGGGGACACCATGACACAGGACATTCCTGGGATATTTATAACACGAAGCAATGCACACCGAGGAGCTGACCGAGCTGGAGGCCGAACACTGAGCTGTGATCAACACAACAAGGGACCATAGAGAGGGGACGGGCACCGGGTGTAAGTGGGACTCTGGAGGGGGCAGTTGTGTTGAGTGGCCAGTGGTGGTGTGCAGAGGATAGTCAGGTGTGACTAGTGGCCAGTGGTGGTGTGCAGAGGATAGTCAGGTGTGACTAGTGGCCAGTGGTGGTGTGCAGAGGATAGTCAGGAGTGACTAGTGGCCTGGAGTGTCCGTGGTGTGCAGAGGATAGTCAGGTGTGACTAATGGCCTGGATAGTGTACGTTGGGTGACATCAAATAGTTGTCACTAGTGGCCAGTGGTGGTGTGCAGAGGATAGTCAGGTGTCACTAGTGGCCAGTGGTGGTGCGCAGAGAATAGTCAGGTGTCACTAGTGGCCAGTGGTGGTGCGCAGAGAATAGTCAGGTGTCACTAGCGGCCAGTGGTCATGCGCAGAGGATAGTCAGGTGTCACTAGTGGCCAGTGGTGGTGCGCAGAGAATAGTCAGGTGTCACTAGTGGCCAGTGGTGGTGCGCAGAGAATAGTCAGGTGTCACTAGTGGCCAGTGGTGGTGCGCAGAGGATAGTCAGGTGTCACTAGTGGCCAGTGGTGGTGTGCAGAGGATAGATAAGGTGTCAATAGTGGCCAGTGGTGGTGTGCAGAGGATAGATAAGGTGTCAATAGTGGCCAGTGGTGGTGTGCAGAGGATAGTCAGGTGTCACTAGTGGCCAGTGGTGGTGTGCAGAGAATAGTCAGGTGTCACTAGTGGCCAGTGGTGGTGCGCAGAGGATAGTCAGGTGTCACTAGTGGCCAGTGGTGGTGCGCAGAGAATAGTCAGGTGTCACTAGTGGCCAGTGGTGGTGCGCAGAGAATAGTCAGGTGTCACTAGTGGCCAGTGGTGGTGTGCAGAGGATAGATAAGGTGTCAATAGTGGCCAGTGGTGGTGTGCAGAGGATAGTCAGGTGTCACTAGTGGCCAGTGGTGGTGTGCAGAGGATAGGTGCACTAGTGGCCAGGGAGATCCATGTGAATATATTAGCACGTTAGTGTGGCCCGCGTGGGTTGGGTGGGGAGTGACCATGTCACTTTCTTTCCCCTTCTCGAGTGGAGCTTTACGTTCTCTGCAGTTGGAGGCGGAGGAGCAGGAAAGGTGGGAGAAAAGGAAAAAACTGAGTAGGGTGGTATTGAGGTCCTCAGTGAATGGTTTAGTGAAAGCTCCACCCCCACCGCCCTCCGTGTGTACTGACCCCCTCTTCCACCAAGCCATCTTCACTGGTGACGTGGTCACTCTGCAAGTCTACATGGAGGCAAAGACCTCCGCCAACATCCTTATTCCTTCCCGGAATCATGACCTCCGCTGGAGCTGCCAGAGGGCTGGTGAGTGACGGAAATTCAGGTTGATGTGTATGGTTTGCTGTAGGGGGCTGCACAGTTGGGTGTAGAGGCTGTAGTGTTTGCTGTAGGGCGCTGTACAGTTGGGTGTAGGGGCCTGTATGGTTTGCTGTAGGGGCTGTACTGCTGGCTGTAGGGGCCTGTATGGTTTGCTGTAGGGGGCTGTACTGCTGGGTGTAGGGGCCTGTATGGTTTGCTGTAGGGCGCTGTACAGTTGGGTGTAGGGGCCTGTATGGTTTGCTGTAGGGCGCTGTACAGTTGGGTGTAGGGGCCTGTATGGGTTGCTGTAGGGCGCTGTACAGTTGGGTGTAGGGGCCTGTATGGTTTGCTGTAGGGGCTGTACTGCTGGGTGTAGGGGCCTGTATGGTTTGCTGTAGGGGGCTGTACTGCTGGGTGTAGGGGCCTGTATGGTTTGCTGTAGGGGGCTGTACTGCTGGGTGTAGGGGCCTGTATGGTTTGCTGTAGGGAGCTGTACTGTTGGGTGTAGGGGCCTGTATGGTTTGCTGTAGGGGCCTGTATGGTTTGCTGTAGGGGGCTGCACAGTTGGGAGTAGGGGGCTGCACAGTTGGGTGTAGGGAGCTGTACTGTTGGGTGTAGGGGCCTGTATGGTTTGCTGTAGGGGCCTGTATGGTTTGCTGTAGGGGGCTGCACAGTTGGGAGTAGGGGGCTGCACAGTTGGGTGTAGGGCGCTGCATAGTTGGGTGTAGGGGCCTGTATGATTTGGTGTAGGGCGCTGTATGGTTTGCTGTAGGGGGCTGTACTGTTGGGTGTAGGGGCCTGTATGGTTTGTTGTAGGGGGCTGCACAGTTGGGTGTAGGGCGCTGCACAGTTGGGTGTAGGGCGCTGCACAGTTGGGTGTAGGGGCCTGTATGGTTTGCTGTAGGGGGCTGCACAGTTGGGAGTAGGGGGCTGCACAGTTGGGTGTAGGGCGATGCACAGTTGGGTGTAGGGGCCTGTATGGTTTGCTGTAGGGGACTGCACAGTTGGGTGTAGGGGCCTGTATGGTTTGCTGTAGGGGGCTGTACTGTTGGGTGTAGGGGCCTGTATGGTTTGCTGTAGGGGACTGCACAGTTGGGTGTAGGGGCCTGTATGGTTTGTTGTAGGGGGCTGCACAGTTGGGTGTAGGGCGCTGCACAGTTGGGTGTAGGGGCCTGTATGGTTTGCTGTAGGGGGCTGCACAGTTGGGAGTAGGGGGCTGCACAGTTGGGTGTAGGGCGATGCACAGTTGGGTGTAGGGGCCTGTATGGTTTGCTGTAGGGGACTGCACAGTTGGGTGTAGGGGCCTGTATGGTTTGCTGTAGGGGACTGCACAGTTGGGTGTAGGGAGCTGTATGGTTTGCTGTAGGGAGCTGAACTGTTGGGTGCAGGGGCCTTTATGGTTTGCTGTAGGGGCTGTACTGTTGGGTGCAGGGGCCTTTATGGTTTGCTGTAGGGGGCTGTACTGTTGGGTGTAGGGGCCTGTATGGTTTGTTGTAGGGGGCTGCACAGTTGGGTGTAGGGGCCTGTATGGTTTGCTGTAGGGGGCTGCACAGTTGGGAGTAGGGGGCTGCACAGTTGGGTGTAGGGGCCTGTATGGTTTGCTGTAGGGGACTGCACAGTTGGGAGTAGGGGGCTGCACAGTTGGGTGTAGGGGCCTGTATGGTTTGCTGTAGGGGACTGCACAGTTGGGTGTAGGGAGCTGTATGGTTTGCTGTAGGGAGCTGTACTGTTGGGTGCAGGGGCCTTTATGGTTTGCTGTAGGGGGCTGTACTGTTGGGTGCAGGGGCCTTTATGGTTTGTTGTAGGGGGCTGTACTGTTGGGTGTAGGGGCCTGTATGGTTTGCTGTAGGGGGCTGCACAGTTGGGAGTAGGGGGCTGCACAGTTGGGAGTAGGGGGCTGCACAGTTGGGTGTAGGGGCCTGTAAGGTTTGCTGTAGGGGGCTGTACTGTTGGATGTAGGGGCCTGTATGGTTTGCTGTAGGGGGCTGCACAGTTGGGTGTAGGAGGCTGCACAGTTGGGTGTAGTGCGCTGCACAGTTGGGTGTAGTGCGCTGCACAGTTGGGTGTAGGAGGCTGCACAGTTGGGTGTAGGGGGCTGGACAGTTGGGTGTAGGGGGCTGCACAGTTGGGTGTAGGGGGCTGCACAGTTGGGTGTAGGGGGCTGGACAGTTGGGTGTAGGGGGCTGGACAGTTGGGTGTAGGGGGCTGCACAGTTGGGTGTAGGGGGCTGGACAGTTGGGTGTAGGGGGCTGCACAGTTGGGTGTAGGGGGCTGGACAGTTGGGTGTAGGGGGCTGGACAGTTGGGTGTAGGGGGCTGCACAGTTGGGGTGTAGGGGGCTGCACAGTTGGGTGTAGGAACCTGTACAATTAGGTGTGGACATTGGGGGTTGTGTTGTCACCACTGTGACATAAATGTACAGATTTGAGTAGCTGAGATGTGATCTGTAGCAATATGTAATCGTACATTTAGTTCATTCCTTGTTATTACAGAAATATTCAGTCAGAGGTACTCAGAGACAGATGGTCACCCATTAATATCTGCAGGGGCGGAGCTTCCTCAGGCTGGAAGTGACACCTGGGTGCTAATAAGATGTTGTCACCTATATGTACTCAGACTCTGCCATCTTCCTGAAGCTGAAAAGAGAGGAACGCAGACGTTTCGGCTTCATGACACCAGGGGGCCCCGATCTGTCTGGGAGCTAAAAGTGTCTCCATCCATCAAAGGGAATGTTTCCTCCCTCATAACAGCTGGAATATTAGTTGCAGAGAGATGAGAATACTTCCTTCTGATTGGACACTCTGTGGGTCACACCGACATATAAAAACCATATTTGTGGCTTAGGTAGAAGGCAGGAAAATGCAGGAAATGGTTAGGTGGTGCTGGATGGTGACAGCAGAACAGTGATTGGTACTGCCGCGATCGGGCCGATGCGCTGGTGTTGGAAATTCAATCCCCGACTTGGTGATTAAAACCGTTCCTGGTCCAATCGACTTTGGGCAGTTCAGCACGCAGAACATCCTGTGGGCGGGTACAGGAACACCCCCCAGGGTTGATTGGCCGAGAACTAATGTCCCGCCTACATCCATATCCCCATAAATTGAGGACCCGGACATTGGGACAGTGTGATTCGTATGGAGCCGGTTCGATCGACTAACAGATTGCGGACTTTCTCTGACTTTCTCCAGTCGCAGGACGGATATCGGTAAACGTTTTATTCCCTTTTATTTTATAGTCATTTGTGTGTCTTCTCGTATTTCTGTAACTTTCTA